CCCCCCCCCCCCCCCCCCCCCCCCTCTCCAACGGTGGAGATACTGGAAATAAGCATGCATTTATACCTGTCTCACTGCTGTTAGACAGATGCTGCAAATATAAATAAGTTTATATAAAATGACAGAACAAGAGGGAAAGCAGTAAAGAGAGAAATATACAGGCTAAGTTACAGGAAGTGAAAAAGTAAGTGTGTGCACCCGCTGGTGGATGCATAAGCATGTCTGTGTGTGTATGACAATGTGACTGTTGAGTGCTTGCACACCACACATTACTTTGGCCAAACCAAATAACCAGGAAGAAGAAAACACACAGAGGCTCTTGGAGGCCTGACGTCAGCAGTGCCTAAACACACAACAGTGTGTATTCACATGTAGGTGGCATGTGTGCCGTTTCACCAGTGTGAGCAGCGTGCATCCATTCACACAAAACACCATGCAGATATAAGGTCCCTCGATATTGGCTGGGTGGCATGCAATGTTAAATATGCAGTTTGGGCTCCTTGGTAATTACTTGAGAGTGCACTCTGTCTTTGAGTGTGTCTTGGATGCTTATGGGTAACTCAGAGAAATGATTACCCACCCCCCCCCTTTGCCACACACCCGACATGTTTTGGCCCACATCCTGGATCAGGAAAGCAGCAGCACATATTTTCATGCTGTGTACAAAAATCCATGAGCTTTACTTGAAGGAAAATGAGGACATTACAGAAGACAAGGACATGGTCTACGCTCAGCCTCAGCTAAATACTGTATACTTACAGTATGTATGTGGCATTCCTTAACTATTGGTTTGAGGGAGCCAGGCTGCGTGCGTGTGTGTGCTTGACTGCTTGTGGCTATGTGTGTGTGTGTGTGTGTGTGTTAGTGAGAAAGAGCAGTGTTGCTTTTCTTAAAACAAACAATCTGCAAACGGCAAAAACGACAATCTTTTAATTCCTTAATTTTAATTTGGCAATTTAAGCATGATGGTCCAAAGATGTGCCCACATGGGAAAGAAAGTGTCCGCCTGGTGGGAAAGCAAAGATTAATTGCTGCGTAAACCTCCAACCCAAGCTGTCGTTATCCACTGAAACTTTCAGGAGCCTATGGGACTTGTTTAACCCGGGCAAACCCACCATCACTGTGCAATGTCAAGTCCCCCTTCTAAAAAGCCCACGACTAAAATTGTGTTATTCATTGTGGCATGCTGCAAAAAAGCCCACTGAAAACACTTTGCACATATTTACTTGTGCCTTAATATCTTCAGTAGATCAGTCTAAGGATCATTATCTCATCCACAATCAATACGACGCACTTAATCGTTTTTTTTCCATGAGCAGGGAACACCCAAGACCTGGTCAACACAGAGAAATACCTCATGGGGAGAGCGCCTGTCAAATGCACAAAATAACAACAACAACAACACACGCACAATAAAAGGAACAGGATTGTCAACAAACCGTGAAAAGCGCAAATAATAACAGCGCGTCTTACCTTGTTTTGGCACCGGTATGAGAATGCCGTTGAGTTTTTTGGACGCGGTGCCGGAGCACACTCCCCGTCCCTCCAACAGAGCTTGCAGGGGTCGGCTCTCCCCCGGCTGGTGCTGGCAGGTCAAGCTGGAGCCACAGCGCGCCGTGTACACTCCACACGCCAGTCCCTCGCCGAGAGCGCACGTCATGCAGCAGCCACAGCCGGGCTCCCTCACGCGCTCGGCGCAGTCCTTCGGCAGCGGCTTGCACTGCAGGAGCGCCCCGGCGTCGCAAGGCTCGCATCGGACCACCGGCCCCACGGTGCCGGCGAGCCCGCTGAACGCAGCCAGTGCGGCGGCGAGACAGAGCACGCAGAGACCGGGCATTCTGCGGATTAAGCTGGTCACAAAGGGACAGTATGTGAGTTGTCGCGTCGGCTTAAGGGGACTTTCTGTGACACAGCGAGCCAGCTAGCCTTCTCCATCTGTATTTTGTTTTACGCGAACTTCTCATTTTATACAGGCGGAAAAAGAGCCAACAAGTCACACCCTCCTCCGTATGAATAATGTAAACGGAGAGCCCCGATATGAGGGACCGCTACATCCAGTCAGAAGAGAGAGAGAGCGAGAGAGAGAGAGAGAGAGAGAGAGAGAGAGAGAGAGAGAGAGAGAGAGAGAGAGAGAGAGAGAGAGAGCTGCTAAAACGCTCAACTCTTTTAAACCCTTATAATAATTTACTGAGGACCGATCATCTTTCATGCTCTGGCATAAGAGCAAAGGTGTTTGTTTCCATCTGTTAATTTGGCCTCTTGTTAAAAGACAGGCAAGTATCGGGAGCTGCAGATGGCAGAATGACTGTTGGGTTATCTTCACTCTCAGTAGTATTGATATCATATTTTATGTTACAGAAAAGGTGCACATATGCAGATTTCCACCAGAAGATAAATATGCTGTGCCAGGGAAGATTTCCTCTGTGTTGACTGTTCCCAAACCTGTGGAGGTTTCCACACCACTGGCCACATCCCCTGCTGACATCAAAGGTATGTGAGTGAATGCCATTGGTGGTACCCCCCACATGCAATACTGATAAAACATTCCTCTGGGCAGATGTGTAGGTGGCCTCCATGTTAACCCACAAAAACAATGATTTTTTTTTTGCATATAACTTGTGCGCGACCACATGCTCAATGGAAGGTGCAGCCAAAGAGGTTTTGCTTTACTGCTCTGGTCTGTAGAAGCTGTTCAGATGCACATGTCAGTCAGAACACCAGCTACAGCTAACTGCGCACACGCCCCCCCCCCACACACACACTCTTCTCTCCCATGAGTCCCATCGGCGAGCCTGCACCTTTCTCCTGAATGGCCCCCCACAGGATTTCAAATTATTAGAAAAAAAAATGTTCAGATTCTGCCGGCTCAGCATCGCCCCCCTGTCCAGCATATCCTCCTGTTCTGCAATAACAAACGCGAGAGGGGGGTACACACTGAGAAAATAAAGCAATCAGTATTGGCCATTGTGTGATTTCCACCACAGAAGCAGAAAAAGTGTTGAGACTGCATTATGAAAAACAAGCAAAGGGTAATCAAACACCCCCAGAATAGCAAGAAAACATCTCCAGCTAAGATTAGTTTTCTTATTACTTGACTTTTTTTCTATTCCTGCATTTTTTCATGTCTGAAATATTCATCTTCTGACCTTTGGCTTGTTTATTGTCTGCCCATCCGTCCAGGGTATGATTTACCTAAAGCACCTTACCGTTTAAACTAATTCAGCAAAAAGACAGTTTTGGGAAACTGCCCCCTTTGTGTGAATACAGTAGGATATACAGATAGAGTTTATTTTGTCATACCATAAAGAGGACAGGGTTAATCCTAATGTGCTGTTATTGTTTGCCTGGCTGAAGATAGCTGTTAAACCAGTCTTCAGACAATATATAAACAGCCAAATGGATATGACATTCTCAAGTTCATTTTTGCCTGATCAGATATTATGCAATGCAGAAGAAAGTCAACCAATGGCAACGCAACATAACATTCACCTTGTTCTGCACATCCATTGGCATCCTCCAGATCTCAGAGTAGGAACAGAGCTGTAATTTGCCTCAGGACAATAAAAAGATCAGACAACTGCTGGCACATGTTCAACCCGTCTATGTTGCAGTCTCAGCGAACTGCAATAAGAGATGCTATTTGTCTTACTCATCAATCTTGTCTTCATTTGGCATATGCACCTTTTTTCTTTCACCCTCTCTGTCTTCTCCCTGTCAAGGTAACTCATATTCTCTCTAGTTATTAATCTCTCCTTCGTCCCAGTCAACATTCCTCTTCGTAGCAATGCAACACATTTCAGGCCGTAAATCATTAATTGGAAACCCAAAGTCAATGACGGTCCTCAGTAACACTGGCACAATGCACTTTATAATTTGAGGTTTTGTGGGAACGAAAGGATCTAGACAGATTTATTTGTTTCCTTCCTTCACAAGTGAATTGAGCAGTAAATTGTCTTGCTGTCAACATATGCTTTATTCATATGTGAGCTATACCATCAGCACGCACCGCACTCGCTGACCATGTTATGACCAGCATATCCCTTTCTTCAAAGAAACGTTGACCTGCCTTGCACCATGAATCATGTCGACAGTTATTTAGTGTTTTTTCAGTGGGGCAACTTTCAATTTTACCACAATGCGCTATACAGTTGGTCCACAGTGTGCTTAAAGTGGATCTTCTCTTGGTGTTTTTCACCCTCAGAGTTACAGTTCTTAACCCTTACTGTGAGGGTCAAATTTGACCCGTTTTGACATTTGACAGCAGTAAAAATACCCTAAACGTCATTCTTTATGCCTGAAAATTGATGACTTTTCCTAAAGTGACATTATAAAGGTACCTGAGCTGCCATTTCAGTGACTGACATCATGGCAGCAAGATTTAGTGTGCAACAGGCCCTTGATCTGTTCTTCCAAGATGAGGAGGTTGATAGTGATTTGGAGGATGTGTCAGAGCAGGAAGACAATGTGGAAGAAAACTCTGATTACTGACTGATTACTGACTAGTTTATAATAAGCATTTTATTATGTAATGTTTTGTGTTCTCAGTGGTAAATGTTGAATTAATATTGATAATCATGATTTCTTATGATATAGCAGTGAGGACAGCGTTTAATGGTTGCAATGATTAAACATGGTTGTATTATAAATTCCAACAGTTCCAGAATGTTCATGCCATTTTCAAATTCATTACAATATATTTAAGTCATTATGGCTTTTATGTTTTTATGTCTTATGTTAAACAGGACATGATAATGTGTAATAGTAGATGTTTTTCTCCAAAAACGAATGTTGTAAAACTTAAAAAATACACTCTCCCTGCTCTCTGAAACATGTATTAAGGATGAATCATACATTTATCAATGAGACATAGCCTATTTAGACATTCTAAATAGATCTGTAGTTTAAAATTTGGTATAGACACTTACTATGAGATGAGGGAATTCTTGGTCTGGGTCAAAATTAACCCGAACCATACTGTGAAGGCATTCAATATGAACAGTGTGTAAGGGTTAAGTCAGTGTGAGGGTGGAAATTCTAAGTTGGTCAATCTGCGAGTCACCTGACAGAAAATTACAAAAAAATATATTTTTTTCAAACATCTTGCTCTGTTCTCATAGAAAAAGCTTAGTTGTCATCAAGAGGCATAAGTGAGACCTAAGAGACAGCTGAGCAAACTCCATCTGCTGATGAACACGCTGACAAGAGGTTGTAGACCTAAGAAAAAAGCCAATAAGTGGATATTGAGTTAAGATTTTTGTCCAATTTTTGTCAATGATGAGTAATTATTACAGACATTTTGGAACACGGTGATATCTCTAACAGGAAGCTCACAGGAAAACTGTGTGCACAACTACGGTAATTACGGTAGTAGGAGACTCACTGCTGTTGTTGTACATAGTTGGCTTGCTTTTCCTATCAGGAGAATGATTCAAATGTATTTTAGTTGAATGATGTTGACTGTGGCTTACGGGGGAAAAAAACATAAATAATATGTTCTGCCACTTTGTGTTCGGGAAAATCATTTGGTGCTCCTTAACTCACCCGGGGCGCTGACAGCGAGGACAGGCCTCGTCCGTCATGGGGGAACATGAAGATCTGTGTTCGTTGCTGAAGGCTGATACTGTAGTTGCATCTGAGATGTTTTGGGGCATTTAAACAACAATACTGTATGCATGTAGTATAATCTGGTGAACATGCAGTACAGAAATAGAGGGGTTAGTTTATGGACGTTGGAAATCTGCTAGTTCCATCATAATCACAATTGACATCTAGCATTACCACCTAATACTTAAAATTGCCTTTTCTTTTCTTTTGGTAGTTGTAGTAAAGTAGATTTGGATAAAACCATTTGTAGGATGCCAACTTGGGGGGTAAACATCTGTCTTGTTAACCACCATCCTCAAACCCCATTCATTTGGCTGTTTGGAGGTTAAGACTGACAGAATCATTTTTTCCAGAAAGTTCAAGGCCTATAGTTGTTGTTGTAACTGTGTCGGTAATGGTTAGAATTTCCCTTTAGGTTTTTTTGTGGATATGAAGCAGGTAAACAACTGTCAATACAGCCCTGTTCAGTTTTTATGTGTTTTCCTACTTGGATAAACCTGAAAATGTCCACATTTTCCACGGCCATCATAGGGACTTGCGTGTGTACATTCTTGGAAAGCACAGGACTTACACAGGAGTTTGAATAAATATTCCAGAAAGTGTTCTCATGATAACATGTGAGACTCATACAGCGAGTTCATTTTTCACCCTTTTTCTAGAGATAATGGTTCAGCTTTCATTGAAATCTATTAAATGCCGGCCGCTCTTTATTGATTGCTGTAGTGGGGGCTGCTCTAAAGCAATGAACTCTGTTTTATCTGTTTTCAATAAATTCAAATAATAAACATAGCCTGACTGCTCTCTGTCACTGTCTTTATGACACGGTTAAGGAAACATCTGGAGGTGAGCAGAGGAAGACAGAAAGAGGAATTTGTAGAGCTAGAAAAGGTGAAGAGGGAAGAAAAAAAAAGTTAACTCGGTTTTTAATCAAGACAGCTGCATGTGGGAGCAAAGAGAAGTGAAAAGTTTGGGCTTATGATGTGTTTGTGGTGAAGTCTGTGCCGTTTGTTTGGGCTACAGTTAGATATGCCTGGCAGCTCTCAGCAGGAGGTCTGAGTCCTGCCCAGCAGAGGCTCCCTCTAATTGGTCAAACAGGCAGTGTGGCACCTTGGATTGAACTCATGCCTGGAGGCCAGGTAAGGCATACTTAGCAGCATGCTGAGGAAAGATCACAGTCATGAGGTTGCAGTTGCCATCTGTCTTTAGGTCAGCAGTCCTCCCACTGCTGGCCGGGCGGAGGGAGGAGGCTGCTACGGGAAGGAGATACAAGGCAAGACAATCTCGCCTGGCGCTCTCAAGTTGACCAACTCAAGTGACACTTTCCTGAGAGTGGGCCAATTCCAGGCTGCTAAGAGGATCAGTTTCCCCTTCC